GATAAGACGTTGTAATTTTTTGCTTCATTTCTTTATCTTTTTTCTTGAGTAATGGGCACTTAATGAAATCTGTCAATGTTCAGTGTGGAATTGAAAATGAATTCTTTTTCTCCAACTAACAATTCCATTATCCCCGAGCAAAACTTTCTAATTGAGTTTGTCCGATTTTTAAGCGAAATTCAGTAGATAATGTTTGTTCAAAACAGTAAAATCAACGTTATCTTGTCACAATACAAAACGTTTTATCGTATCACATTAAAAAATAAAAATGTTCAACACGGTAGTGTTAAAAATAGCATACAGGAGGATTACGAACTGATAAATTTGGATACGGTTTTAATCCCATGTACGATAAAGTCAGCATTATAAATTTGTAATTGCACTTGAATTCAACAGGGGATTAAAGGATTTGAGCTAGCGAAATACATACAATTTCTTCACCTACTATTTGTGTTTACTGGTGGAAGTAGTAGATTTTTATCACTCCGTCTGCAAGAATAAAAGTAATAAAATTTTAGAGTCGCTTGTCGCGACGCTGTTTTCACGGTTGAAAACACAATTTTGGAAAAATGGGATTGTCGGCGATGTTTGTTATAAACGCTAATTAAAATTTAGTGTAAGGAGTTAATTAAAATTTATAATTAACTTCCTGGCTGTTAAATTTTGATTTTGTCACTTTTCTGAGTAAAAAAGGTGATTCATAAGAACCAAAACTAAGTTTTAGAAATCTAATTTTGTGGTTTTGAGATATAGACTGATTTTTTTTGTCAAATCTAAATTGTGCAAAACTTTTCCACTTTTCTTTAAATTGCATAAGGCAATTACAGTAAAACAAATGTTTTCAACGTAAAGTGATACGAAGATTGCAAATCTGTGCTTAAAATTTATATACATAAATTAGTTTTTGAGATTTTTTAAATCGATTTTTTCAAGTCAAACTCAATTTGTGCCACAATTTTTTAATTTTTTCAAAAATTTCATAAGAAAATCAAAGTAAAAAATGTGTTTCGAACGTAAAACGTCACGAGAATTAGGAATTTGCACCCCGATTTTGAAAAAACATGATCAGTTTTTGAGATATTGACCGATTTTTGTTTTTTTTTGGCAATTCTAAATTGTGCAAAACTTTTCCAATTTTCTTTGGTTGCAAATCTGTGCTTAAAATTTTATGTACATAAATTAGTCTTTGAGGTTTAGACCAATTTTAAATCGATTTTTTCTAGTCAAACTCAATTTGTTCGAAAATTTATTAATTTTCTCAATAATTTCATAAAAAAATTAAAGTAAAAAATGTGTTGCCAACGTAAATCGTCACGAGAATTAGGAATTTATTGTTACAAATTGAAACAGGAGATAGAATATTCAATTTTATGATAAAAGTTTCCTATGAACATTCTTGAAAAATACTATGTAAGGGCGCTACACTCCCTGAAAGGGGTGTATGTTTTAATGGATTTTGTGTAATATTTCAGAAACCATTTTAGATAAAAGTACAAAATTTGGTACCTTTATGTCGAAATTTTTAATCAAGGGCGTCCTAAAATGGATAAAAAAGTACTATAACAACAACAAAATTCTAAATTCCATAGTTTTTTACTAAAAAGAGGTCTCTTGCGTTTTTTCGATATAATTTACCCTTTTTGAGTAAAATCTTTCTAATATTTATGTTATACTTGTTTTGTGATGCTTTTTACCGAAAAAAAAAATGGTTTTTGAGATATAGACCGATTTTTTATCGATTTCTCCAATTTTTTTTCCATTTTTGTGCCACTTTTCTAATTTTCTTAAGAAATGCATAAGAAAACTAAAAGAAAAGGTAAACCTCTTGAGAATTACAAATCTGCACTCGGATTTTTTTAAAAATGATCAGTTTTTGAGACCGATTTTTGTTGTTTTTATCAAATCTAAATTGTGCAAACCCTTTCTAATTTTTTTATTTAAAATTGCATAAGGCAATAAAAGAAAAACAAATGTTTTCAGTGTAAAATGATACGAAAAATAACAAATCTGGGCTTAAAATTAGAACTAGATAGTTTTTTTGAGATTTAGACCGGTTTTTGATTGATTTTTCCAATTTTTTCATTTTCGTGACACTTGCAATTTTCTTAAAAATTGCATAAGAAAATGAAAGGAAAAGAAGTGTTTTTTACGTAAAATTAGGGGTCTGTTCTCAGATTTTGTATGCAATGCTTGATTTTTGACAAATTTGGTGATTGCTACATTATGTAGTTTCAAAAACTTGGATGTTTTAGGAAAGTTTTTGTAAATGAAAGAAATTCACGTTGTGATAAACCACTGTGCAATTTTAAATAACTTATTATGTCGTTAGGGATGATCAATATGCAGTAAACCCACACGTGTGTAATACCCGTCCGCAATCAAAGATAATAATATCCGGAGTCCGAGGGCTGTTTCACCACCGAGATTACATTCTACTTCCGGTTTTCTTTCCGGACAAGTCTGAATACCGGAACAACTCTAGGTCATGCAATACGCTCTCTCCCAGCTTATTATTCCGTGTTTGAAACACAATATTGACATATTGTATTGCACGTAAGAGGAAGAAAAAAAGAAACTTGAAATTAATTGCAAAAATTGCATGAAATTTAAAGGTCTAGACTACAAAATAGTTCACTTTTAGGGTTTTTTCAAATTTATTTTTGCTTTCGTGTTTTTCACTGCGATGGCCAGCAGACAAATATTACAAGTCTAGAACAGTTTGCACGCTTCCAATTTCACAGGGCGACAAAAAATAGTCATATCGTGACGACTTGACAAATTATATATCATTTTGTTCGTCTCAATGAGACAAATCAAATGCACTAAAAAAATTTCAAAAAGTCCACACACTTTTTTTTCTAATTTAAATGAATTTAAAATACTTTAACTTTAAAAAATCATTACTCAATAACTATTATGCCGATTTTCTTCAAATAAAGACCAGTCTAAAGGGATGGATTTGGCCTTTAGAATGATAAGAAATTTGAAATTGAATATTGGCAAACTTTTCTTCGAACAGTGTTCGAAGTAAATCGAAATAATCTAAGAAAAACTCTACTTTTCATCATCTCCATCGCGTAGAGCAACTATTTATTAGTTGTAATCCAAATTTTGAAAATAATATACCAAGTAGTTTTTAAGATATGATTTTTTGAAGTTAAGGTTTGCTAATTAGGTATTGCGCCATAAAAAAAAATTGCATTTTTATAAAAGTATTTGTTTTAAGACTGGTCAATTTCACCTTCTTTGTTCTAATTAAAATAAACAAAAACGTTTTCTTTACTTAAAATAAACAAAGAGAGCCTGTGTACTAATTAAAGCAAATAAAGAGTTTTTTTTTTATTGTAAAAATGACCACTAATCATTGAGCAAAGAGGATTTAGAAGTTTAAGGCACGAGCCTTAAATATAAGGGCAAATCTTTTTCAAATCAAATCAATTCCATTCAGATTTCGACTTGTTCACTTTGTTCTAGCTTTCTGAACTTTCTTTGAAAATGTCCTGAGCCAATGTTTTCTCATCACTTTTAAGTGATGTTAAATGCAGTAAGTCACCTTTTTTTTTTGAAAAGTTTAGAAAGCTAGAACAAGGTGAACAAGTTGGAATCTGAATGGAAAGTGATTTGATTTGAAAAAGATTTGCTCCTATATTTAAGGCTATTGCTTGTAGCCAATGGCCAGGGGTCATTTTTAGAACAAAAAATTCTTTATTTGATTTAATTAGTACACAGGTTTGTTTGTTTCAAGTAAAGAAACAGTTTTTTGTTTATTTTAATTAGAACAAAGAAGGTGCAATTGATCATTTTTCATCCCCAAAGGGGTTAAACAGGGATGACAATTTGTATTAAAATATGTCATTTATAAAGTTAAATCCTTGAAAATTTGTATTTAGGCTTTCGATTAAAAATCAAGTAATACGTGTTTCAGGATTTTTGGAAATTTCACCCTCAAGGGGGTTGAACAAGGGTAAAACTTCGTAAAATATCCGTTTTTTTTTAAGTTAAATCTATGAAAATTGGTATTTGGGTGTTCAGTTAAAAACAAGATAGCACGTGTTTCAAGATTTTGGAGAATTCTATCCCTAAGGGGGTCAAATAAGGGGTGAAAGTTTGTATAAATATGTATAGTTAAACATGGAATGAAAATTTATATCAAAAAATTGTTAAGTAATAATAATATCAATGAAATAAGACTTAAAATTTTACGGTTTTTAAATAAGTTATAAAAGACGGACTTTTTATTTTTATTCTTCTATAAAAAAACAATTTTAAGTAAGATTAACATGCATTTCTCCTATATGGCGCAATGATTCATTAGCAAACCTTAACTTCAAAAAATCATATTTTGAAAACTAGTCGGTATATTATTTTAAAAATTTGGATTCTAACTAATAAAAAGATGCTCTACACGATGGTGACAAAGAAAAAAAAATACTCGTGGGGTTTTTCTTAGATTACTTTGATTTACTTCGAACTTCTTCGAACACTGTTCGAAGGAAAGTTTGCCAATATTCAATTCCAAATTTTAAATCATTCTAAAGGGCAAGTCCATTTCTTTGGATCTTTATGTGAAGGAAATTGGCCTAATAGTTATTAAGTAATAATTTTTTAAAGTTAAAGTATTTTAAATTCATTTAAATTAGAAAAAAATTATGTAGTTCAAAGTGTGTGGACTTTTTGAATTTTTTTTAGTGCATTTGATTTGTCTCACTGAGACGAACAAAATGACATATAACATGACTTTTTTTGTCGCCCTGTCTTTTCAGAAGCACTGTGAAGTTTTGTAATAGCTTTGATTTCATTTTTAATTTATTATCAACAACGAAATGAATTTTGGCGGTTGTGTTTGCAGTGTTGGGTCAATAGTGGAGTAATCACGTGAGTGTCTTGAGCAAGAGCAAACAGCACCCTGGAGGTGTTCCACTTGGTAAACCGTGACCGACTTGAAACTAATATCGACTAAAAGAGGAACGGCTTAAATAATTTCCAGATTTTTGCTCTTGTTGGTTTTAATGGATTATTTATTACTCAATTTAGCCAAGTGAGTTTCCTCCCACCAAAGAGCCCAGCACTGTCGACGAAATTTGTATTTTTGCTGGAGGTCGTCGATTGACATAAGTCCCGTTACCATCAATGGGTGGTTCGACTTCCTTTATGGTTGTTTCAGTCGTTGAAATATCAATTAGAAATTCGTGATACCCACTTTGGTCCAGTACATAACCAATAGTACGAATATAAAAACTTCCATTTTTTCGTTCAAAGTGTTCACCAAATTGGCCTTTAACTACTGGAAAACTCTCTAAATCGATGTGTTGCAATTCGGTTTGTTCATAACGACTATTGTAACTAAAATTGTCAGTCACAGTGCGAATCCTAAAACAGTTAATCAAAAAAAGAAAGTCTATAGTGTGTTTTTACCATATAGTGTAGTTTTCTTCATTCGCTGAAACGTTAAATCTGACTGAATGTGACAACAAGTCGTCATCTACTAAAATTTCAGGACCTGGCAAATTAAAAATTGTGTAATCTTTTGGGGGTCCGTATTTTGCTATTGTTGCATTGAGTACGCGCAAATCCTGTTTCGATGCAAAAAACTCATTTTCACCTTTACCAAAATGCGTGAAGAGATATAAATAAAAGATTAGCTACAAAATTTGGTTAAAATTTTGAGACATTTATAATTTGTACATACCAGTTTCATGTCGACTTGTGGACTGATCAAATATAAAATAAATCAAACCAGTTGAGAGCTTTGACATTACTTTACCTTGTGGTAAGTGCAAGAACCTTGCCAGACGAGGCTGGTTTTCACATAATTATTCTCTCTTGTATGAAACACAAATAAATAAGTGTTTGATAGTCAGTTTATTTATTCAAAATTTTACAAGTTTTAGCCGAGAGAATTGCCTCCTGTTAATGTGATAAGAACTGTGGACGAAATAGGAACGCCGCCACTTTCGAAGACTGGCAGTTCTTCTAAACTTTTAACAGCTGTAAAATCCAACAAAAATTGTCGAAAACCCCTCTCGTCGAGTATGTAACCAATAGTTCGAATATAAACTTGGCTACTATTTCCGAGAAAATGTTCCCCAAATTGGCCTTTAATGACTGGAAATTCTTCTATTATAGCTTCTTCGTAACGTGCATTGTAACTAAACTGTGGAGTTATTGTACGAATCCTGAAAAAATGAATAAAATCGTGTGAGATAAAAAATTGCGTTTTACCTCAAAGTGTAATTTTTCGTTTCATCATATTCTAATTTATTCTCGTGTAGATTTTTATTTTCATCAATTTCTATTTGTGGACCTGGCAAACCCAACTGTTGGTAGTCTTGTGGGGGACCATATTTTTCAATTGCTTCATTTAGGACAAGCAAATCTTCCGCTGTTGGGTCTTCTGCACAGTGAAGAAAAGCCACAAGAAAAGCTTCAAGTAGTAAACAAAACTGTAAATAATTTGTATTTTACAACAATTTGAAATAGAGTTAAAATTACTGAAATCATGTTGTTGCTTCATCGACAGAACAGATTATTACAGAGTTGCATCAACTTAAGTCACCTTGGGAAATTATGGATAATTTACATTAATTAAAATGTGACGGTATGTACAGGTGAGTTTAATAATTGTTCCCAAAGCTTATTAATATACAGGGTGTTTCAATGTTTTCAAAACTTTTTACCAAAATTGAATTAGACCATCCTTTCATGAGATATTATTCTAATAAAAATTTGCAAAAAAAAAACATGAAACAGGTTAATTTTGTTTTGAAAAGGGACATTTTTTGACGCAAGTTTGAAAGCACCTTCACTAATTTTTTAACCTCTTAACTCTAAAATGTCAAATAGCACCAACCACTAGTGATACAAAAAATGAAAACACTTTTAAAATGCTCCTTACAAGCTTTTTTCCAAAATGAAATGATTTTTATACATTCATAAAATATCGGCAAAAAATTAATCAGTCAGTCAGTCAAAGGAACTCAAGAACTATATTGCTATTTTTTAGATACTTACATTAAATTATAAGAAACGTTATTACCCCCTGTCCTTTAGTCCGATTATTTTGACAATAAAATAAAGAAATAAAAATAAGTTTGTTACAGTTTCAATAATACTTATAACAATATTAGTATGTTTCGTGTAATTTATTTTAATAGTTTTTATTAGAAGTAATTACTAATTAGAAACATTATTTTTTGCGAATATCTTATGAATAGATAATCCCATTCAACTTTAGAAAAGAGGTTCAAAGAACATTTTAAAAACACTTTTATTTGATCTGTCGCAAGTGAGTTGGTGTCATTTGAAATTTAGAAATTGAGGTGGGAAAAGTTAAAGAGGATGCTTTCAAAATTGTGTTAAAAAAAGTCTTTTTTAAAAACAAAATTAGCCTGTTTTGTTTCAGCGTTTTTGCCAAGTCATTTTAGTTTCTGAGATATTCGGGGTGGCTCGTTTTCATTGGAACACTCTGTACATACAAGGTGAATATAAAGTAAAAATAATAAATAATATAAATAAATTAAAGTAATATAAAAAATGTGATTTTATTTTGAGAACGATAGTTTGTTTTTGAGTTATGCGATTTTTGGTCAAAATTGCAATTTATGTAAAAATCTTTTTTTGTAAAAATTAAAAAAGTCGATAGTTGTAATCTTTAGATTATAAGAGAGAAAAATGGTTTTATAGTGGGTTGCCATTAAAAAAAATAGTTTCGAAAAATTTTATTCTTGATAAAACATTCACCATTTTTTCAAAAAATAAATAGTGTAAGCAAAAAACGTTTGGTTCCATACTTTTTATACACCTGGTATATTTATCATTTTAACCTTCACTCTTGTAATTTCAGCGTTGAAACCGATGATGGATATGAGATTACACATGTTGTTTATTTTTTACATTTTTCAATGTTTTTTTTCACATTTTTATTGGAAAGCGGAATTTTATGTAAAAAAATGACTTTTTATTAAAAACTTGTATTTTACTTCAAAACCAAAAATGCTACAATGTTACAATTGTGTTAGCCCAGTGTATTGCCTCCTGTTAATGTGATAAGAACTGTGGACGAAATAGGAACGCCGCTAATAATAAGAGCTGGTGTTTTCTGTAAGTGTTCTTTAACAGCAGTAAGATCCAACAAAAATTGACGAAAACCCTTCTCTTCGAGTATGTAACCAATAGTTCGAATATAAACTTGGCTACTATTTCCGAGAAAATGTTCCCCAAATTGTCCTTTAACGAGTGGAAATTCTTCAAATCTGCCTTCTTCGTAACGTGCATTGTAACTAAATTTAGGAGTTATTGCACGAATCCTGAAAAAATGATTAAATTCTTCTAAGATATGAAAAATAGTGTATTATTACCTCAAAGTGTAATTTTTCCTTTCATCAGATTCAAATTTATTCTCGTGCAGATTTTGGCCAATTTCTATTTGTGGACCTGGCAAACCCAATTGTTTGTAGTCTTGTGGGGGCCCATATTTTTCAATTGTTTCGTTTAAGACACGCAAATCTTCCGCTGTTGGCAGAAATTTCGGTTCTTCAGCACAGTGAAAAACGGCCCAAAGAGAAGCTTCAAGTAGCAAGCAAAACTGTAAATAATTCGTATTCATAACAATTCAAAATAGAGTTAAAATTACCAAAATCATGTTTAGTGTGGAACTCAACAGAGAATTACTGCGGAATTGCATCAACTTGATGGGAAATTTAATAATTTACATTAATTAAAATAATATATACAGAGTGACTACAGAAATTTTAAGTGAGTAAAGTAGTCTTATCTTGTCTTATACGAATGCTTTTTAATATTTATCCTTTTAACCTTCATTCTGGTAGTTTCAGCCTTGAATTGTCTTAAAGAAAGAATATCAAATTACTCATGTTGTTTATTTTTTACAAGTATTTTTAACATATTATGTAATGTTTTTGATGATGCATTAAAAATCTTTCGTTCATTTTTTTTATTTCAAAACTGAAAATGAAACAATTTCTAGCCCAGTGCATTGCCTCCTGTTAGTGTAGCAATCACAGTAGAAGAAATAGTTATTTTTTTACTCGGAGGACCACTGACACCCCCACCATATCTATCACCAAAAGAGGCACTATAGCCACCACCACCACCCAAAGTACTCTTAAAAATATAATCAACACCACAAAATGTTATTGGAGACTTGCTGTCTTCCTTCCTGTCTTCCTCCTTCATAATTGTGTTAGCAATAGAAAGATCAAGCAAAAATGGCCGATAACCATTTTCATCGACTTTGTACCCAATTGTCCGAATATAAAAACCTCCACTTTTTCTTTCAAAATGTTCCCCAACTTGACCTTTAATTTCCGGAAATTGATTGAAAGTCTCGGGCATTTTCACTTCTTCATAATTTCCAATATAACTAAAGTTGGGAGTAATCGTGCGTATTCTAAAAACTTGTTTGAAGTAAAAATATAAAGCAAATGTTTCAACCTCAAAGTATAATTTTCGGATTCGTCTTCGTATTCGAGCTTATTGTTGTAGGTGTATTTTTCATCATCAAGCGCAATTTTAGGTCCTGGAAAACCTAGTTGTTTGTAGTCTTGTGGAAGGCCATATTTTGCTATTGTTTCGTTTAGGACGCGCATATCTTCAGAGAATGGACCTGGTTCTTGGCCACATTGGGAAAGATGCACGGAGGAAAGTCCAAAAATTACGAAAAACTACTGGAACTATTTTTGATATAAAACTATTTTGAGTAATTACCAATTTCATGTTGTTTTGGTTGTGCTTCAATCGGGAGACTAAACACGATGCAGCGATGGATTTTTATATAATTATGATTAATTAATGTGTTTGTTACAAGAAAAACCGGACCGGTGTAATAAATTTTGTTTAAACATTAAAAATCAAGAAACTTTCCAATTTTTATCGAAAAGTTGACTAAAATAGGCACTAAAAAGGGATTAAATGACCATTTATTTGTCTCAATAATTACAAATTTTATGTTTTAGTCAGTGGGGTGAGTATTGTAGATGAAGCATTTGCGGTGCCACTGGGCCCGAGGAAAGTAGAACCAAGTCCATAATTACCACCACTGCAAAATGTTAAAGAAGGTCTAAAAGTCTTCTTTAAACTGGTTTCGGCTATAGTAAGATCCAATAAAAATGGCTGATAACCATTTTCATCGATTTTGTAACCAATTGTGCGAATATAAAAACCTCCACTTTTTCTTCCAAAATGTTTGGAAAATTGGCTTTTAATATCTGGAGGTTGATAGAAAGACTGTGGGATTTTCACTTCTTCGTAATGTCTGTTGTAACTCCAATAGGGGGTTATGGTACGCGTTCTAAAAATTAACTTGAGGGGCAGTAAAAAAGAACAAGTTTCTACCTCAAAGTGTAATTTCCGGAACCCTTAAGTTTTAGGTGATTCTTGTGGAGATATTTTTCTTCATCAAGGGCTATTTCGGGGCCGGGAAAACCCAGTTGTTTGTAGTCTTGAGGGGGGCCGTATTTGGCTATTGTGTCCTCTAGTACTCTTGTATCTTCAGAAGTGTCATCCAACGTGGTTGGTGTTGGGTCCTCGGCACATTGGCCAAAATACAGGAAAAAAATTATGAATAATATCAACTGCAATTAAACGAAATTAATTCGAGCGTCCATAATTTGAGGACTAAAGTAGAAATACCGATTTCATGCTGTCTTGAGTTGTTTCTGTTGGAAAACTAAACAGGTTTTTTTCAGTTGTTGCGTATCGGATTATGTTGTGATTAATTACGGGATGTACCTAATGATTGTTACTCCTGCGACTCTCAAAATTCAAGTTTAAACTCAAAATTCAAATTTTTAAAGTAATTTTTTATTGCAAGTAATTTGAAAACGTCCAAAGAATTTGTGAGAAGAAAACAAAACGTTCCATAAAAAACGTAGAGCTTTTTCTTAGAAATTTATATACAAAAAGTCGTTTTATTATTTGATATTTTATGATGATTTTATGATTAAAATATGCATAGAAAAATTAATTTTATTACAGTAACACAAATAGGAAAAAAGTAGAATAACCTAATGCAGTTTTTGTACAAAATCGGATTTTGTTGTATAAATAATTTATGCAAATTTCCCATAAACATTGTTATAACTAGTAAATATCCAAAAAAGTTTAAATTACTTGTCTCTTCAATTATTACCAAAATCTCCATACAAATCTAAAAAAATTATTACTTTAAAGTTGATCCATATAACGTTTTTTACATTTTTAGAGGTCTTAAAGACTCAAAAAAGTGCATAAAACGTTATTGGGTCAAGTTTAAAAAATTATATTTTTTTGAGTTTTTTAAAATGAGCAGTAGTAATGCTAGTTATTCCTGTCGACTCTCAAAATTCAAGTTTAAACTAGAAATTAGGATTTTAAAAGTAATTTTTTATTGCAAGTAATTTGAAAACGTCCAAACCAAAAGTTACAAAATGTACTGCTTTTTCTTAGAAATATATACAAAAAGTCGTTTTATTATTTAATAGTTGATGATGTGTATCATATGATTAAAAATACAGTTTTTGTACAAAACCGGATTTTGTTGTAAAAATAATTTATGCAAATTTCTCATAAACATTGTTTTAACTAGTAAATATAAAAAAAAAGTTCCAATTATTTGTCTCTTCATTTACTACCAAAATCTCTATACAAATCAAAAGAAAATTCACTCTAAAATTGATCCATATAATGTTTTTTACATTTTTAGAGGACTTAAAGACTCAAAAAAGTGCATAAAACGTTATTGGCTCAAGTTTAAAAAATTACAATTTTTTCAGTTTTTTAAAATGAGCACTAGTAATGATAGTTATTCCTGTCGACTCTCAAAATTCAAGTTTGAACTAGAAATTAAGATTTTAAAAGTAATTTTTTATTGCAAGTAATGTGAAAACATCCAAACTAAAAGTTCCAAAAAAATTTTGAGAAAAAAACAAAACGTTCCACAAAAAATGTAGTGCTTTTTCTTAGAAATCTATAAAAAAGTCGTTTTATTATTTGATATTGGATGATGAGTATCATATGATTTGAAATACACGTAGAAAAATTAATTTTATTACAGTAACACTTAAAATACAAATAGGAAAAAAGTAGCAATAACTAATGCGGTTTTTGTACAAAATCGAATTTTGTTGTATAAATAATTTATGCAAATTATAACTAGTAAATACACAAAAAAGTTCAAATTGCTTGTCCCTTCAATTATGTAATAATAATTATTACAATAAAGGAACCAATAACAGATATCATTGAAATGCAAAAAGATTGTAGATAGTTGTTATAAATTCCGAGTGAGAAAGCAAAATAAACTTAAGAATTAGTGACTCAAATCCAAAAAGTAAAAATTTTGTTATTTTTAGCACTTAAAAAATTCGCAGTTTCACCCCTTGTGGTTTCAAATATTCAAAAAGCTAGCCAAGGTTGCCTCCTGTCAACGTAGCGAGTACAGTAGAAGAAATGCTAATTTTTCCACTTGGTAGATTTGGTGAACCACCAAAACCACCAAATGAGCTACTAAAAGCAGTATTACTGCCAGGGGCACCATAACTTGGATAACCAGGACCACTAATGGTACTACCCACACCATTAACATTACTACAAAACGAAACAGAGGGTTGAGAAACTTGTTTTAGAGTTGTTTTGGCCACAGTCAAATCAAGCAAGAATTGTCGGTAACCATTTTCGTCAACTTTATAACCAATTGTACGAATATAAAAACCGCCACTTTTGCGCTCAAAATGCGTTGCAAATTGCCCTTTAATATCGGGGTTTTGCTTGAAGCTTTGGGGCATTTTTACTTCTTCGAAATGCCCGGTGTAACTGAAATAATCCGTTATTGTGCGTATTCTAAAAATTAAACAAGAAACTAGTGGGGAAAATTACCATTAAAATTTCTACCTCAAAGTATAATTCTCTGATCCCCCCTCATATTCTAGTTTATTTTTAAATAAGTCTTTTTCATCGTCAAGAAGCACTTTAGGACCTGGAAAGCCCAACTGGTTGTAGTCGTGTGGGGGGCCATATTTCGCTATTGTTTCTTTTAATACTCGGACGTCTTCAGGGATGTCGTCAGGTTTACTTGTTGGTGGTTGGAGTTTTGGAGGCGTTGGTTGGTCATCACAATTGCCAAAAGCAACAGAACACAATCCAAACAATAAACAAAACTAGAAATACTGGACACTAACACAAACTAATTGAAAAATAAAATTTTTACCAATTTCATATTGCTGTTCTGCTAGTTTCACTACAACTAAACAGTCGCTTCGGTCAAGATGAAACAGAGTTTATAACCTTGCGCCGGATTTTTTTATGTAAAACAAGATTTTATTATGAATGAGCCTAGAAATATACCGGGGGTTTTCGGAAAGTAAAGGTATATATAAATAAAAAATTATTTTTTAAAATAATTTTATACTGCAACTAAAAATTAAATTAAAAAATTATTTTAATTGATGTTTAATTAGTTATTTATTTACTAAGATAACAAGTAAATGGCCTTTTAAATGCCATAATTAAGTAAACAATATTATTATTAGGAATACCTAATAAAAATTATCTATTAGTAGGAATTAAAATGACCAAATCTAACCAGAGACTATTTAATATAACTCTTTAAAATATTGATACTTTTTTGATAAAGTTGTAAATGACAAATTAAATAATTTCATTATTAATTTTTATTCAATTCAACAGGTAGACTTTTGAACTCGTGGCAACCTTTACAAAAAAATCTGGTGTAAACATCACACGACTTTCCTTATCCTACTTATTTGGAAAACATCCTTACGACAATAATTTACTGTTGGAAATGCGAGTAGCAAACCTAAGGTTTTTTTAGTTCGGTGCCCATTATTATTTTAATTTTTTCACATTTTACTGTTTAATAAGGTATATTTCATGATTCGAAATATTTTTTTTTCTCATGAATTTATTGTATCTTCAACCGTATAATTTTACTGCCGACCTTTGGTCTTTGCGACCGATTTTTACCAATTGTTTCGTACCAAAATTCAAGTTTCTAGCTTATAGAATAAGGAAGGTTAAAAGAATATTTAAATTGAGCTATTGAGATGTTTATTGCAATCGCAAAGCAATTGTAACAAATTTGTTTTTGCTATTAATTGTTCATTTCAGTTATTTTATCAAAACTCAATTAATCATCAATTTTAATTTTTGTGTTTTGTGTATTAAAAAAAAATTCATAGCCACTGGAAAACTGTCTACGCTATTAATAAACAAATTATTACCAAAAAATACTTCTAACACAATAATATTTGCAAATCAGTTTTTGATACTAATAAAACAAACACTGTTATAGTAAGAAAAAAATTCCTACTACATGATAAATATTTATAATTTGTTTTTTTCTGTTTACTATAGTAAAATTAAATTGTCAAATATTTAGAAAATAGATGTGTTTGGATTGAATAAAAATGATTTAATATTATTTAATTTGACAACTGCAACTTTATTAAAAAATTAAGCTATGAATAAATTAAAGAGTTACGTTAATGTTAAATTGTCTCTGGTTAGATTTCATCATTTCTAATAATAGATGGTTTTTATTACGTATTACTACTTTAATTTTTATTCTGTTAACATCCCTTGTAGCTTAAATAACTGTATTCGTATCTTGCGATTGGAACTCCTAACTCACAAAACCTGTTTGTTGATGACACAACAGTTGCTGCAGTTTTTTAACAAAAAATTTGGACGCTCACTGAATTTTCAAATCTTTTAAACTCTAAACTATAAAACAATTTCAAATAGTCTTATTTTTATGCAAATTTCTTATTATTTATTAAAATAGTTGTAATAACCCAAAATATAGAAAATGACAGATAAAATCCATTGCGATGGATTTTTTACACAATCTCTCACAAATTGTTATTTATTGGAACAAGAAGGATGGAATATGGATTTTCAAAAATTACTTGTCTCAAGCCAACAGTTTTTAATAAAAAATTTATTACATTGGATATTATTAGTTACATATTTTATATTATAAATGTATGCCAATGCCATGATAATAACTAAATAAAAAATAATCTGGTCAATGAGAAAAAGAGGAATTACAATTTATGATTCTGGAAAATACTGGTGTTTTTTAACTTGAAATTGCATTTCAAAAATTGTGGAAGTAAATTATGAATTATCATTATGAGAAAATGGAATATTTGGTTGTTTGCAGTACCTAATTTGTAGCTTTGAAATTTTGATCAACAACTCTGTTTGGTTTTCTAAATTGGTGATTAATTTTTTACTGCTGGTTATAAAAGACCGTTACATTTCGGTATTATAGAAAACCAGTCCGCTAGAGAAACATAAAAAAATGAAAATACTTTGATCGCAAGAAATGTATTTTGTTTTCTTTTTTTGTATAATTTTTTTGTGGGGTTACAAGGTATTAAATTCTCACTCAATCTTCTTAAAGTCAAGCCAAAGACCCCCGATTGGTGTAATTAACACATTGGTGGGATCATACTTAAGCGGTAACTTAGTTTTTTTATTAAGAGTTAATTCAAAATTCTTGATGATATAAGCCAATCCCACTTTAATTTGCAACAACCCAAATCGTTGTCCTAAAATTTTTATTTTATTTTACGAAAACTGTTTTTTTTTCAAACCTAAACAGGCCCTTGGTCCTTCTCCAAAGGGCATATAGGTGCACTTTTTAATATTTTCCCGGTTTTTGCCGAGAAACCTTTCAGGATGAAAACTTTCTGGATCCTCAAAATGTTCCTCATCACGTTGAAGTGCTAGCATGGGTATGATAATGGGAGTCCCCTTTTCAATAACAAGAGGCTTGTTGGTTTCTTTTAGTGTCCAAGTGAAGTTTTTTGTGCACAACTTCTGCAACGAGTGAATTGGAGGTTGGATTCGAAGAGTTTCTTGTATAACAGCCTCTAGATATGCCAAATCTTGCACTACTTCGTAGGGCAAATTATTGTTATTTTTCTCAAACGCTTTTGTTACTTCGTCTCTCAGTTTTGATTGAGGGTCTGGATTGACACTTAGTTGGTACAAAACAAAACTCAGTACCATTGCACTGGTCTCAGAACCATCACCAAAAAATCCAGCCGCGTGGGCTGTGACGTCAAGATCGGTAAAACCCTCGCAAGTTTGCTTCAATTGACTTAAAATGTGCATAAAATCGTTGCGGACGATGTTGTTGTCTTTTCGATATTTCAAAGCATCGGATACTAAATTGGTGAGCTTTTTTTCGACCGATTTTGTAACAAATCTGAAGCAAAAACTGAAAAATTGTAACAAAATTTTAGTTCTACCTCAAGGGAAATATTTTGGTGATGGGGGGAAACAGTGTTGCTAAAAAGATCATAATCACTCCGTAACTTCCAGGCGACAAAAACTCTTTTGATAGTTTTCGAAATTCGCTATTTTCCTCCTCAAAACATTTCCCTTCGATGCCAAATACAGCGTCTCCCACGTTGTTCAAAGTAAATCGAAGGCTCAATTCTTTGGCTTCATAGCTCGTCTCTGGTACTCTCTGGAGAAACTCTACCATTTTTTTAGCATTGGTTTCCAAATAGGAATACAACCATTTCATCTGAGAATTTTAAATGTTATTAAAAAAAATGGTTTTGTAAATTTTACTTTTCCGCTTGTGAATCCGGGAGTTAGTTGCCCCCTCACAGTTTTCCATTCGTCCCCTCTCAACGCAAAAGGATTTCGTCCAAAAAGTGGGTCGTGTTTTTTGTCAACATCGATATCATTGTCTCGGAAATGTTGGAAGGATTTTATTGTAATTTCTTTGAGTAATTCAGGGTCACGGACTAAAAGGATCGGAGTTTCTGATCTGAATAAGCCGACAACGCTCGCATTTTTGTACTTTCTGAATGAAAAGCAAATAAAAACAACACATGGAAAATGATGAAAAGCATACCTGTAGATTTCCGTGTAGATTTCGCCCGGAGATGCTTGCAAGATGAAAGATTTTCCGACATTTCCCACAAGGAATGACGGTTTGGGGCCAACTACGCCACGTTTTTCCCAATATTCATGGTTTTTTTTTACCAAAAAATAGCAAATTGTGCAAACGAGGATGAACAATACTATAGGTATCATTGCGGGTTTAATTCTGCGACTCTATCTAGCAATATGTATTACATAGAGAGGAAGGTCAATTTAATTCGGTTGTAAATAAATACTATTGGATAAATTATGACATGACACATTATGTCTTTACTCGGGGTTCAATTAGGATATCTATGCTTAAACTATTTTTCGCTATCTATATACAGGATGTTTTAGAAATTACGCAACTTTAAACGAGAATTGTTCTAATAAATAACAATAATAAAAAGCCAACAGGAAACGAAATAAAAATTGTGAATTGACAATAATAAATTAGCTCTCAATTTTTGTTACTTTTTTTAAGAATTCGATTTTTTATGTAAAATTTTTCGAATATCCGATGAAACACTGAATATACAGAAATAAAATGCATTTCACAACCGCAAGAAAATGTATTTTGTGTTGCATATTATTTTTGTAGAAAATTAGAAGTGTTGGGAGCTCTAACAATAATGTTTATCTAAAATTTTGTTTATAACCATCGGTTAGGTTCTGCTCAGTAAAAATATTTTTAAGATGGCAGCACTTCCTGTTACACCGGAAGTGGATATCAACTTCTTTATTTTAAATATCTAGAAAGGTGTGTTTTTTATTGCGTTTTTTGGTTTTATTAGCCTTCCCTATACCTAAGTTTAACCGTTTTCGAAATATTTAGACTTTTTTTAAATTTTTGGATTGGAATCTTCCTATTCAAAAATCGATAACTCTACCATTTTTTTGTTGAACATCGTCAAAGCTTCGTTAAGATGAGAAAAACGATTTTTTCAGTTTTCTTTTACAATTTTGCATTAGTTAAATTTGAAAAAAAATTTCGAAAAACAATTCAAAATTATTTTTTTTGTTTTTTCTGTATTGTTTCTTAAAATTTACGAATTTAAGAAAATCTAAAACATTTTTTTGATTTTTTTTCAAAAATTAAGCAGTTCACAAATTTTCAAAAACATAATCAAAAAACAAATTTTGTTCAATTTTTTTTTATTTTGAGTAAATAACTAATGCAGAATTGTAAAAAAATGTTTTTTTCATTTTGATGGAGATTAGGCAATGTTCAGAAACAACATGTGCAATTGTTCCTTTAAAACAAAACCATAAAATTTTAGAATTAGTTTTTCTTGTGCTATTACTTAGAATTGCGTGATAACCGTAGCACAGAAAAAATATTTGCCAAAAGATCTCGAAACTAGAAACTAAAAGCTTCAAAATGGTTTTTTCTAAATTTAGATACGACCATTAATCGATGAGTTACAGCCTTTTAAAAATCGACAAAAAAATTGTGAAAATTTTTTGTTCCTTTAATTTTTTGGAATGCGAAAACTAAAAAGTTAAAATAACTTAGAAATCCTTAAATTTAGGTATAGGGAATATTGATACAGATCGATGCAAAATTAAATTCTCTTTCATTCAGTGAATAAAAAATTGGGGCCTTCCATTTGAGGTATTTGAAGTTTCCCAGACGCAACCTTATTTTTGTGGTTTGTTAATTATTTTTCCAATTTAAAATATATGAAAGAAAAGATTTAACCTTTCTTTTTCATATGCCCAAACACGATTCCAAAATAATTAAAAATGGTAGAGTTATCGATTTCTGGAGAGGAAAATGCAAATTAAAGAAATTTCAAAAAGGTCCAAACGCAATTAAAAACATAACTTTCTGTTGAAAATAACCCATTTCCGGTGTAACCAGAAGTGCTGCCATCTTGAAAACATTTTCATTGTGCGGGATCTAAACGATTATGGTTATGTTTCAAAAACTTACTTACTGTTACATTTATTTTTCTAACTTTTACATTATTAATAATATAAATAAATAATTGTTCCACGTGTGGTTTAGTTTGCAGTGTTAATAAAATTGAAGTTATCACAATATTTCGCTTTTTGAATCAACCCAAACTATTTCCTCCGGTTAAAGTAATGAGGACAGTTGTTGAAATTCCCTTTTCACCCTTTGGTCCTCCGCGATAAATAACGGTTTCGTTATAAACAGTTTCATCTTTGTAAGTGGATAAATCTATCAAAAACGGTTTGTAACCATCCTCATCAGCGGTGTAACCAATCGTTCTTATATAATAGCCCCCATTTTTTCGTTCAAATCGTTCAGTATATTGTCCTTTTACTTTCAAAATCGTTTTATTGTCAATTTCCTGTAATTCACCGGCTTCGTAGCGTTCGAGGTATGCCAGCTGATTCAATTTTGTGTAATACCTAAAGCAGTTTATTTAGTTACAAGAAGGTTACATTTTTTCACTTACTTGAAACTGTATTTTCCAGGATTGTTGCTGAAATCAATGTCTAAAGGGATTTTTTCTAAATCTTTCTTTGTAAATTCGGGTCCAGGTAAGTCGTTTAAAAGTCGCGGAGTGCCAAACAATAGGATGCTTTGTTTCAACATTTGCCGGTCTTCTTCGTCCATTATTTCTTCACACAAACAAAAGTGTGATAAAGCGTACAAATTGACAATGATCATCTATAAAAAAAATGTTGGTGCAATTATTTTTGTTTATGTTTCTTACCAGTTTCATGATGCATTCTGTTTTAAATGTTAATGAATGAAAACAACAAGTTGTAACGCAAGATTTCACTCAAGATTCCACTCTCTGTTTACGGCAAGTAAATTATTGTAAAAATTTTACTACGTGTGGCCTTCATGGTCGCAACCTTTCTTAATTAAATATAAATATACACTCATTGTAGGTAAATTGACATAAATTGCAGTTTGCAATTTTTTTTATCCAGGTAAGTAGGTATTAACATTTTCGAAAAAATTAATTTGAAATGAAGATAAGTGTTACCTGGTGTTTGACTTGGCAAAATCACATGATGCAATGAAATTATTACAAAGAAACAAATTGAGAATAAATAAAAGAAGTTTTTGCATCAAAAACAGGTTTTTAAAAGGTTATTGCTTTTGCTATTTGCGAATCTGTAATATTTTGAATGTTTATCGTTTCATATTTTAATTGTCTTCGATTGAAAAGGTTAAAGTGGTGACTGTTATCTTATAAATATGTTCTTGTATAAATGGTAATGAATAATGATTCTAAAAATATAAGTAATAACTATTCATTTTTTAGAATAAGTAATGTTGTTGTGCTATGAAAGAAATAAAAGTCTTGATTCGAATTGTACACTTTTAAAGTCGTAGTTTTGTTATTAATTAAATTAACTGGACCAATAAACCACAGAGTTATTATTTATTTAAATACAACATAAATATAATGTTAAAAATTTGGAAACTTCTATTTGCATATTGACACCTTTAACCTTCATGTAGCTTAAAACCGCTTGTCTTATTTGTTAAAATCAGTTTATAATGGGTTTTGATGGAATCATCGTCATGAAACTGGTAAATAATTATTTTATTTTGATCTTATTTAATAAAAAGTAATAAATTTTTAGCGTTTCATAGTTTTGACTTGTTTTCTCCTCTCTCTAACTCACGGAAGACCAAATCATTCCGTTTCACAAGAGCAATTAGCTCGTGTGCATGAAGAAGCTATTATCCATTTTGGTCCTCCTAAAGATTACACAAATTTAGACATTCCTCCAATTAAAGGTTATTTTGATGAACCAGATAATGAGCATCCTTATCGTTTTAATTTCACCAATGATGGTTCAGGAAATTATTATTTTGGGTGAGAGAGTAGAGAGAAAGTAACAACATATTTTTTAAATATTTTAGTTTTGATACTTTTGTTCTGATGCGTTATGAAATTGGAGAATTGAAAAACGTAGACACTGATAATGAAATTCAGTCTGTTAGAGGACAATACCAAGACAGATATGTCAATGAAGATGGGGTTCATATCGTACGAACAATTGGTTACGTAGCTGATGAAAATGGTTATCGACCTTTTTTGATAGGGTTATCTTTTGTGTTATCTACAGCATCTGAACCGAAAAAAGGGCTTTCTTCTGCTGCTTTGGGGAGTTTGATCGGAGGAAATAGTCTGGGATAGTTTGGTTGTTTTGAATAAACAAAAACAATTAAAAAAAATACGTTTGAAACCATGAAAAAAAAGTTTTTTATTTTTTCAATAAATGGATTTGTTTCTTTTTTTGGAAACAAAAACGTTTTCCCGATATTTCTTCGTGTTTATAAAATTATTGTTGCGCAACAAAGTAATTTTTTGTTCTTGCACCTTTTCATCTCTATCATACAGCACGACACTACTTTTTTAGACGACTCTTTGGAAGAATTTTGAGAAAATCGCGATTGAAATTCTGAATTCTGTTCTGGGTTTTAAATTTGGATTCTACATAAAAAAGTCAGGAAAGTTCACTTTTATGAAGAAAGTCAAAAGTTCAAATAAAAACATTGTAAAACAACCAAAAAAGACAACATTTAGAAACTCCACGACAGATTTTCACAAAATTTCAAAAAATAAAAAAACAATTCTGGGTAATTTTAGAGTTCCTATATTAGGAATAAGAATAGGAACTCTAGGTAATTTGACCAAGTTGAAAAAACTCGTATTTCTATACTAACCCCTTCAAATAAAAATTTAAATTAAAGTATTTTTACATTCTTGTACCATTTCCATTTCTTCTCTATCATCCAGCATCAAACTACTTTTTTGAACGACTCTTTGGAAGAATTGTGCAAAAATCGTGATTGAAATTCTAAATTCCGTGTTCGAATAAAGAATAAAAATCGATTTTTTTTGATAGGGTTATCTACAGTATCTGAATCGAAAAAAAGGGATTTCTTCTGCTGCTTTGGGGAGTTTGATCCGAGGAAACAGTCTGGGATAGTTTGGTTGTTTTGAATCAACAAAAACAATAAAAAATACGTTTAAAACCTACAAAAAAAGTTTTTTATTAATAAATGGAATTATCGTTTGTTTCTTTTTTTTTGGAAAGCAAATTTTTTTTTATCAGCCCAGATTTCCTCCTAATAACGTTGTTATGACAGTGGATGAAATCGCAATTTTTGGCCCCATTGGCGCTCCCACTAAATGGGCAATTGCAGGAACCAACTTGTATGTAGTTTTGACTTTTGAAAGGTCTAGTAAAAACGGTTGGTAACCATTTTGGTCGGCTGCATATCCAATAGTTCTAATATAAAATATGTCTTCCGCTACTTGAATTTTTTCAGAAAATTGTCCTCGAACTGTTTGAATTGTTTCATTACCAATTGTCTTCAATTCGCCAACTTCGTAGCGTCCCAGATAGGCAAATTTGTCCTCTTTCGAAAAAAACCTGAAGTCTTGTTATTTCTATCTTTGAATAAAAAAAAACTCACTCAAAAGTATAATTTCCCGTTCCACTATTATTAAATTTAACTTGTGTGGATACATCATCTAGAAAGCTTCTAGTTAGTTGAGGGCCTGGCAAATTGAGGGTAGTTGTAGATCGTGGCGAGCCATAAAGTTTTACACTTTCTTCAAGAATTTTCCGATCTTCTTCTACTTCAATTTCACTGGATTTAGTCTCATTTTTCTCAACTAAGATGAAGCAAACAAATACCAAATACAGTTCCACTGTGAGTAACTAAAATTTTTAAATGCCTTATTTTAAATTATTACCAGTTGGCTCACTTCTTACCAGTTTCATTAGCATCTCAATCACTCAACTCACAAAAATTAAAAGCCTTGAATGAAAGGAAGATCAGTTTGTGTATAAATGTCAGTTGATTCAGCAATAACACTAACAGTGAAAGGAATTATAATATAATTATATAAATAATTATAAATTACTCAAAATTAACATAATTTTAAATAGGAGGAAAAAAAAGGAAATAAATGCAAGACGTTTTGTCGTTTTTTTTAAGCGTTTTATTTTATTTTGTATTAAAAATGTTTGGAAATAAGTAAAACAAGTAGTTTGGGAAATAAGCCTATGGCATAAGACAATGTTTCGTTCAGGAGTTATTCAATTTTCAACATATCCTTGAAACTGAAGACTAAAAACTAAAAAGTGTTTTATTAAAAAAAAAAATAATTATTTTAAATGATTTTCAGCGGTAAGAAAAAAAGTTTTCTTGTCATGTGACCTACATAGTTGTTAACCTTTAACAGGGAGCGTGGCATCTTTTACTTTAGCGTCTTATGTTTCTGAAAATGCTCACTTTAGACCTTTGATATCTGTTTCATATCTGTTTTCAAATAAACAATTATTAGGAACGAAGTAAAACAAGTTTTATTTTCCTTATTTTTAGAATAACTTAATTTTATTTGGGTAGTCAAGAAGAGACAAAAACTTTGAACTTTCTATAATGGTTTTTTGATTATGAAATGATTTTTGAATAAATAAAGTTTCAGGATAGAAAAAAATATGGTTCCATTGGAGAAAAAAAGTTGTTTTCCTTTATCTGAAGAAAATCGGTTCCCATTGTTTTGTATCACTATTAATTAATATTAAAACAAAATTGCTCAGGAAAAGATTACCATAAAGTCACACTTCTTCATTAAACTTTTTAATCTCCAAATTAAGTAAACCAAAATGCTGTTTTTAAGTTGGCGAATAACATTTTGGACAAAGAGCATCTTTCTCTCACAATTTATGTCATTATTTTGCTTAATTTAATAAATTTAGAATATTTCTCAGCGAAAAACTTAAAAAAATTGTGAGATTTTGCACAAATAATATGCTGAAAAATTGGTAAATTAAGTTTGAAATACGATTTTTTGCATGTTTCAATAGAATCAGAGCATTTTTCACCGAGCAAATTGCTAAATTCACAAAATTACCAAAACACATGAAAATTCAAAAATTATAACTGGAACTAAGTTATTTGTGCTTTTTCAATGAATTTGAAATATTGTTTGCTGAAACACTTAAACATTAAAAGATTTTTTCAACATAAAGCGAAATTTATTTATTTTTTGCTAAATTTAATAAATTTAGGATATTTTTCAGTCAAGAATTTTCAGTTTGTGAGATTTTGCACAAAAAATGCGAAAAAATTGATAAATTAGGTTTAAAATACCTTTTTGTTTTTTGGTATTTTAATAGAATCAGAGCATTTTTCTGCGAGCAAATTACTAAATTCAGAAAAATTACCTAAACACATGAAAATTCAAAAATCACAACTGGAAATGCGTTATTTGTGCTTTTTTTCAATGAATTTGAAGTGTTTTTTGCTGAAAAATTGAAACATTAAAAGACTTTCAAAATAAACCAAAATTTATTCTTTTTTTGGTTAATTTAATAAATTTAGGATATTTTTCAGTCAAAAATTAAAAAAAATTGTGATTTTGCACAAATAGTGCTGAAAAATTGGTAAATTAAATTTGAAATACGTTTTTTTTTTGCTTATTCCAATAGAATCAGAGCATTTTTCAGCGAGCAACTTACTAAATTCACAAAAAAAAAATACCAAAGCAAAGATAAAAATTCCAAAAATCATAATTGGAAATACGTTATTTGTGTTTTTTTTTTTTTTCAATAAATTTGAAGTGTTTTTTGCTGAAAAACTCTAACATCCAAAGACTATTATTTAATTTTTAACATAAAAAATTCAGTCCCAAAAAACACTGAAAGTGTTTGATTTTGTAAAAAACCACTCGTAAATTAAAAAATACAATTTCGACTAAAAAGAAATACAAAATCATACAAGTGCAAAAAATATTCAACACGGAAAAGTGCAATTCACTGATTTCCACTTCTGGTAATGTCACTTCAATTTTGTGTTTTCCTAGATCAAAAGCTTTTCTCCTATTAAATATCACAAACTCAGTTTAGTTTGAATTTCCTTCTCTAATGAGAGAGTTGAATAAACAAAACAGCTCCGGATTTAGCATAAAACTTAACAAAGGCTGTAATTCGGTCCTGATTAGTTAAAGTAGTTTGAAATGGTTAAAGTCAAACTTATTACTTCAGGTTATCAAGATTCTCAATCGACAATATGTAATTAAAAACTTGACACAATTTTCCTAAAAATTCTCTTCTTGCTGTGCTCCTGACGTTATTTCCTTAACGATTCATTATATTTTTTTTTACATAAAGCTCAGATGTTCTCACCAGAAGTCGCTTGTTATCTCCAAAAAACATGAATGAGTTGTTTCTTTTGTGTCACACATAACAGGATCGATTATATAAAAACAAAATCTCCAAAAGATTTCTTTTTATTTTCAGAAAAGCTCATGAGTATAAAACGTAATACTTTGTCTAGCGAAATTAACAAACTGCACGTGCGCATCTTGCCTGCTCCTTTGTGTATAATTAAATGAGGTGATAAAAGACAATTTGTCTCGGAGAACTACTTTCGCAATCTTTGCTGTCTTTTGTGTAATTAAATTTTAAACTGAAATCGCATTACATCAAAGGAGAGCAAAAAGCGCAATAAGACGATGATGGTCTTGCGAACAATGCGTTTCCTTAAGTACTTTTTATTACCTTGTTTAACACTCTTGAAATTTAATTGCAGGTGGGGATTTAAGCTTGAGGAAAAAATACACAAGTGCAGGGAATTTCAGGAATCTGAAATTAATTTCGGAATTCAGACAATAGCGAATTACTCTTTGTACGTTTTAAAGACGAGGAATTTCACATATTACATATTAAAAATATAAGGGAAATAGAATTAGAGCATTTTCCAGCAAGGAACTTATTACTAATTCACAAAAAATTTTACCAAAACAAAGATGAAAATTCCAAAATTATAACTGGAAATGCGTTATTTGTGCTTTTCTTAAAAAAAATTACCAAAACAAAGATGAAAATTCCAAAATCATAACTGGAAAT